ACTAGTCACAGACTAAAATCTCCAAAGCTGGGAGACAAAAACAAATCTTTTCTCTTTATAAACTATCTCTTCACTATTTTGGCTATAGTGATAAACACAAATACTATTTTTATTTTCTTGAAGGAATAGTTAGAAAATTAGGGTCATTCATATTGGGTATTTGACAAACTTTTTCAAAATCAATGAGCTAAGTCTGTTGCTTCAAAGTAATCAACTGACATTATCTATTGCAAATTATCAAACTGGTGCTTTCAGAGAAAGTAAAAAATTTACAGCTATATGTTTTCACAATAAGCTTTCCAGCTTTCAAATAGAGCTCATTTATATGGTTTCATGGCTTATTTTTAAGAAACTAGCACCTGTCAAATTCTGATGCAAAAACCAAAGATGATATATGATCTGAAACAGCTCTGAAAATGTCCCTCTCTTTCCCAACACAAGACCTATGTGTGGCCGTATTTTTTCATCTGCTTTAAGCGAGCAACACACTGTGACAAAATGCGTAGAGCCATGTCTGGGAGATGGTTATGCCTCCTTTGATCCCAGCTTTCGAGATTCACAAAAATGTGAAGCAACACTACTGTGTTTTGGAAAAGTTTTCTTTTTCCCCTTAAGTTATTTATACTAACACAAATTAAACTTATTATTAAAAAATAAATCAATATATTGAAAATTCCATGTTTTTAACTTCTAAGACAGTAAATACAGTCTGCACAAACAAAATCTCTCTATAGCTTCAATCATTTTCAAGTTAGAGACATTTTCTAGTGGTCCCTCCTTCCAGCATGCTATAACTCACTGATGAGGACACCAGTAGATAAGACAGATCTCCTCCCCAGTACTTTGCAAGCTCAACACCCAGGTTTTAGAAGAGCCATCACTTGTTCTGGGGGTGGGTTCTATCACCCACATAATCCACTAAGATACTGCTGTTAGTTTGCAGCTTATGGTGCTGTATCGATAAAACAGCACAAGACCTACAGTCAAGATGATCCGAGCACAGGCCATTAGTTCACTACCTCCCAGGAAAACTTTTGGTAATATGGTTTACTTATCTTTAAAGTGAGATATGACTTTTGATATCTAGGAATTACCATAAAGATCAAATGAGAAAATACAAATAATAATGAAAGCTTGCAATTGTTAATCAACTTCCATGGGTCAGGCACTGTGTTTAGTAATTTACTCTCTTAATCTCAGTGAAATTCTATCTTGTCAAGAAACAGTATTATTAATTCTTTTTTTTTTCCTTTTTAACAGGTATCAATATTGGCTCAGATAAATGAAGTGATCTACACTGAGACCATAAAGCTAGTGAACAGGGAGCTGGGGCTCTAGATCTGCTTGAGACCAAAAAACTTCTACAGGTAGGTGGTAAATCAGGACGGCATATGTTAAGAGGTAAAACACGTTACAAGAACCATTTTCTGTAACTTGGAGGAAAAGGAGATTAACACACTGCATTATGTGGAAGTCACTGGCATGCTCATCTGGCACAAGCCCACAGGCATCAGCTATGTCTACAATCCTCTCTGTACTGTTCAGACCACAGTTAAAATTCAGAAACTAAATAAAAATATCCTCAGCCCTTTGTGATGTTAACACCAAACTCCTGGGAGTTTTCATATAACATCCCACCATATCATAGTCTTTTACAATCACTGAATGGTCAGAAAAAGAAAAAACAAACAAAACAAAACCCACAAATATCTGAATGGGGGCTGAGAGAGCTACTACCACTTAGTGTACTGTTACTCACTTTCACAGAGACTTCTGAGCACAACATACTCCCAGTACCAGTTGCTTATAGTTCACAAGAAGAATAAAAAGCTTTCCTCACTTACGGTTAGGTAAAAGCAGGCTAGTATGAGACCTAGCCCCCACACCTACCTTTTTCTCTATAAAAAGAGAATATTTTAGCATAAACTATTAATACACCCTTTCTTAAGCAGCATCTTAATTGGAAATAAGGATTTTCTTTTGGTATTTAGTGCAAGTCTTGGAACACAATGGCATTTGCTGGTTGAACTAAGGCTACAACTTGGAAAGTGTAAATACCTATTTTATTTTACCTTACTCTCTACATTTTGACTGTACTCACTACTTAAGAGGTTCTGGCTTTCACTTGTCTGACAAGACTATATAGGAGGTACACTTCTTCCCATGGAGGTGTTTTATAGCTTTCACTGGACAGAAGTGCTGCTTAGATTACCTAGCTAGGGCCTCTAGGTGCTGCAAACATTCAGAACCCTCTCCCTGGGGTGAGCTGGGAAGCCCCTTGCTCAAAGGTATGCTATTAATTTGTTTAGTTCCACCCCTTTTCTGGTAAGGTATAGAGGGGAAGTAGCTAGCTGCTAGTTGTTCCCAGACTGTTTGTCCATCTGAGATTACCTTTTTATTCAGTTAGAGGCCAAACTCTGGTACAAAATGAATTACAATGTGCTCTTCATCATGGATGCCACCACCCACTACCTTTAAAGTGAGAACACTTGTTTTAACTTATTAATGAAATAAATTAGGGTCCAGAGAATTTTCTTTTCAAGCTTCCTTGGATTTGTACTCTATAAAAGGGAGCAGACATTGAAAAACAAGCTTAGGCTTGGGGTATTTCTAGTGGAACAGATTGATTAGCCTCTAGCTAATCAAGAAGACACAGTGACAGAGGCAGTAAACGCCTGGTGGTTTCAGTGGTTGTGACAGTAGAGTCTGAGAAGGAATGCTGGGGTCAAGATTACTTTCCAACAGTGTGAACCAATAACATGCATCACCTTAGTGTGCCTCAGTACCCTCATCTGGACTCCTAGTATAACACAGGACTGTTAGGTAATGAGTGGAGAGAGAATCCATGGAAAGTACTACATTACCTCCTTCTCTTGTTACTGTGATAGAATATTTGTCAGAAAGTACTTAAGAGAGAAGGATTTATTCTGACATGGTAGAGTTCATGATTGTGGGCCCATACACCTGGGATGCCTCAAAACCTGGTGGATCAGAAAGCAAAAGGGCTCAGGTTAGCCAAAGCTCACTTCTATGCCAGTTAGACTTTATGTCCAAAAGGATCCACAAACTTGTCCCCAAACAGGGTCACCAACTAGGATCCAAATGCTCAGATACATTTCATATTCAAACCACGACAAGCACTCACCACAGTTCAAGGGTCTTCAATAAGTAGCAGCTGTTTTTATATGGGGACACACAAATGTTAGTTAAGTAAACACAGGTAACGTTTGCTTGACTGGCTTGCATGTGTAGATACACAGCCAAGCAACAACGGCCATGCAGCAAAACATATGACACTTGTGTGGGAACCTTGGGGGCTAACGACTCTTAACTAATGCCAAACTCATTTGGTCTTCTGAAAACAAACAAACAGGCTCTCCCTGCCCCATATTCACGGGACAAAACATACCTCAGGAAAACAGGACTTCCTGAGGTCTTTGCCAGTTATTGCCAAAGTGAAGGGTGAGGTATTATTTCACTTCCTTTCTCCCTACCACCCTCCCTTAATGCCCAGGCTGAGTAACCCCACCAGCACCATGGCAAGTAATATCCAAAAGAGGAGGAAAAGAGAGTCAAATAACCTAAGGTTTATAGAAACATCATGGGCTTGATAAACTGAAAGGTGTAGAGACATTAGGTTTTACGTTCAAATTATCCCTCTTCCAGTTTTGAGAGGAGAAAGTATTTCATATGCAACAGTTATTTTCTTTCAGATCAGATGAATTTTTTTTAGCACTAATGACATAAACTGCCAATTAAAATTAAACTGTCAGGAAAACAGACACATATTTTTAATTCAAGAAAAAAGGCATTTTGACTGATCAAAATATTTAGGATAACAGACTGTAAAAGGCAGCTATCATTTTTCAAATAGATAGTCTTCTCATATAAGCTGTTTGTATCAAATGGATTTATGACAAGATTATCATCCAAAGCCACAAAACTCACTTGATATATAACTCACCCAAGAGGAGGATTTAAGCTTACAATCTAGCAGGGCCTCTTCCAGGACAGGGATAACTGAGGGAAATACGGTAATAACTCATCTTGCTGTGGTACCCCTGAATTTTCTTGTGCTCCTTCTTGAGGCTTAGATGGGACTTGATTCAATTAAATCAAGAACAAGTGTGATGGCTTCTAGGGAATACCTTCACTAAACCAATCAAGTGGTCAGTCCCAGTGTGACACAGAATCAATGTTCTATGTGCAAATGCAGAAAGATATGCTGATGTCTGGACACAGCTGCCTGGCATCCAGAACACCCAGCTCTGCCTCCGACTGCATCCTTGGGTAAATCTCTTTAGTGCCCTTAAATTTTAGATATTCTTCCTGCCATCAACTTCTGAATTCACGGGTTCCTTAAATCTTCAAACTCTTTTCTTGAAGGTGTGGGGCACAGATTAAAAGTATGTGTGAAGTTGAGGCTAGTTCATTATTTCAGGAATCAAGACACATGGCCATCTTCATACGAGTGAGAAAGGATACAGGCAAGGTATATTTCCAATGCATGTTTGGCACAGAAAGCATCATCACTTTTTAGTTTTATTTATGTGTATGCTTTTGTCTGTGTCTGTGTCACGTGTGTGGGGACCTGCAGAGGCCAGAAGAGGGTGTATCTCCTGCAGCTGGAGTTACAGGTGGTTGTGAGCCGCCTGACCTGGATGCTTAGAGCCTGGATGCAGCAAGTACTCTAAATCATTGAGCCTTCTCTCCAGCCATCATCACTCTTTTAAACCAGTTAAGAAGCAAAAGTCACTAATGGTTACCCTAAAACAGAAGTGGTAGAATTACACGGTGAAGACTTTCATAGTTTCTGTTTGAACACAGAGGAAACCTAGAAACTGCACTGGGATTTGTGAAAACCATGATCTCCATGGGACTAGAGAGTTTTCTCATTTTACTTTCTGCTGCCAGGACCAAGGAGCAACGCGTGGCTCTCTTTACAAGGCCTTACGCACCAGCCAGGTGCGCTGTGCTTCACTTCGTCTGACAAAGCTTACCAGATTTTTCAGCAGTGTGGACAGTTCCTTCGTAAGCGTAGAAAATTTGACAAAAGCAGTGCCAAGATCAGGGTTGTCTCGGCTTAAAAAATTACTTCCAAACTTATCCAGAACTTGTGCATAGTTTTCTTCATTTTGTACGTGGTCTAAAAAAGAAGAAGAGGATCATGAGCTATTATTTGCCACAATGAAGGGTTGTTCTGACTGCAGAATACTGGACACTCTCAAAAGGCAAGCAGAGCAAACTGCATCAGTTACACACTGGACACCCTGAGGCAAACAGGACACTCAATGTTCTTTCTTTTCTTTTTCTTCTGAGACAAAGTCCATCTTCCTGCCTGGGCCTCTCTCGTGCTGGGATTACAGGTGTGTGTCACCACACCGGCTTTCTCTCTCGAGGGGGCTTCTCCTTTCTCTTGGAACATTCAGCTCATCTACATGCCCATTCATCCACATTTCCGTATGTTGAAGGGTCATCCCCAGCAATTAAGAAACCATGGAGAAAGTGCTCATTAAAAAATCCCTCAATCTTCAAATACGAAAGAAAACTACTTCATGTGTTCTAGCATGTTTCTTTCTCTGCTTCTAATCCTGGTTTCTTTTCTTTTTGCTTATGCTCCAGGTTTGCAAAATAACATTTGTAAAATGCTTTTCACATACCATGTCTTGATTCAAAGTTTTCAGGCTTAGACCAGATGGACCTATGCTTGAAGTTCAGATTCAGGCTCATCACCTATAAGCTTGCTACTTACAACAAAAAAACAAAAAACCCTCCTATGTTTATTACCCTAGTTGGCACACAAGAAGTATCAATCCTCTATTTATGGATCAATCTCCCTTTCCAACAAATCCACAAACTACAGCTCACACCTACCTTATAGGAATGCCGTGCTCATGAACTGATGTGAAGGACAGGAAGGTCTCTCCACAGAGGGAATATCCTACAGACAGTAACTCCTCCATGCAACTCTTGCCTTTCTGGCTTCCATGCTCTCTTGACCATCTCCCACTGCTGCTCTTCTCCACTGTCTTTGCTGGTTCTCTATGTGTCTGACCTCATCATACTGGAAAGGCCCTGCCTGTCACAAGGACTTTATTCTTTTCTATCTATGCATACTTTGTTGGGATCTCAAGTCTTATCATTTTAAATGGTTATGAGTTGACAAGCTCTGAACTGAATATCTGATACCCAGAGCCCACCCCTAATATCAAACACATCCACTACCCATTCAGTATCTTCACTGGGAGGCCCAATCATTGTCTACAACAACCCTGTGCTCTTCTTCTCCAAGCTGATTTCCCTTAGTTACTGACAAGTAACATTACCAAAGCTGTAACGCAAAACCTGTCAAGTCATACGTGATTTTTCTTTCTCATACCCTGGGGCCTCAACCTTTAAGATAACCCACAAATGCGACAACTTCCAGTCTCCCATGCTATAACCTCATTCGGCATCATCTCTTGCCTCTGGTCTCTTTGTTGCTGTTCTTGCTTATTAAAACAGTGACAACAGCTCTCTGCATGGCCCTGTTAAATTCTGCAGCAGATGTTGACTCCCCTGGCAGACTCCAGAACTCAGGCACCTCCAGGTTTTGGAGCCCTGCAGGGTATGGAAAGAGTGCTGTACTTGCCCACACCTAGAACTTAAGGTGTGGACACTGCCATCAAATGGCAACATGGATGGGGTGGTAAGTACTTCTTTCGTGAGGAAGCTTTGCAAAGACTTTAGCTCAGATCTCCACAGTACAACCACAGTTTTGACTGGATGAATTAATGAACAAACAAGTACCTATCAGAGTCTTATCTTTAAAGATTAAAAAAAATTATTTTGTTTGTTTTTTATTTTACAGGTATAAGTGTTTCGCCTGTAAGGATGTGAGTGCACTCATGTATGCAATGCCCATGGAGGCCAGAAGAGGGCACTGGATCCCCTGGAACCGGAGTCAGTCATTTTGTAGGTGCTGTAAAGTAAACTGGGGTCCTCTGCAAGAGCAACCAGTGTTCTTAACCGCTGAGCCAACTTCCTACCCCCAGAGTCTTCTTTCTAAGACCTTCCCTTAGTTAGGAAGAACCCTCCATTGCCCACACCTCCCTGCATTTCTGCATTGTTGTCCATGCCACACCACATTTATATACCTACACATCTTTCCGGGAAAGGTATGGATCACCTCTGGTCACATCTGCTCCCCACTCAACAGACAGTACTGGAGGTTTTCCAGGAAGCTGGACTTAGGAAGCTATCACTGACTTGACTCAGGAGGTTCAGTCCTCTACAATCTCTTAGTCTATTTATCCTAGGCTATTCAACACTGGAGATGAAGCATCTTACTTTCAAGCACTCTCAGTAACTGTAGAGGAGCAATGGGCACTCATGAAACACAACACGAGCCTTGGGCACTTGTGAAACAGACATGAGCTTAGGGAATAACAATAGAAGCCGCATCCCTGCAACCTAGCAGGACGAAGTGAAGCCCAGGAGACCTCTAATCGTCACCACATTAAACATTCATGATGCCTGCAGTGGCAGTCAGCATTTCTGGCTGAGGTATGGAAAAAGATAAAACCAGCTCTGGTTTCGGACCCAGTTCATGCAGAGAAGTGGCTCAGAAAAACAGAAAGTCCACGTCAGCTCAATGGCCAGGATGCATGTGTCTGCCTGCCCTCACCTGCTGTAAGCAGCCTGGCCTCCCACCGGGGCCCAGAGGCCCACACAGTACGGAGCATCTCACCTAACACCTCTCTCTACTTTTGGAGGCCAGTGGAAAAAAGATGTTCATTTCAATCCTTCCAAGGGAGACCTCAGGGTAAACACTGGCACAGGCTGTTTACCTGAAATCATAGAATGTTTCAATGACATATCCACAAAAGGTTAGGTGAACAGAATAGAATGCCTGCTACTCACCACTCAGATTAAGTTTGGAACCCCAGTCCCCTAAGTGGGGCATCCTTCCACACAACTGCAGTCTCTTCTTTTCTGCCTCTAATAGCTATTAAGCCTGAACTGGAATTTCATGCAGTTCAGGAGGAATTAGGAGAAGCTCAGAAGGTCAATGATGATGACTCACTGCATAATCCGATGGAGCAGAGATAGGGTGTGGGAGGGGTTTGTGCTGCAAATTTTCTCTGGCTCAATTGCTTTCTATAATCCTATTTCACCCTCACCAGAACTCTGCAAGGAAGACGCGATGGGAGACAGGCAGAAGATCAGACAGGATAAAGCAAGAACTGGCAAGGTCATGTGCCCCAAAAACATGTATGTAACTTTCTAGTACAGACACAGATAGACTCATCTTGCTGTACTGCTAAATTTTACTAAGGATAATAACAATATTAGCCCAAAATAGCAATGCAGGAATTAAATGTAAGTGTTTAAAATAGTGCCTGGGATGTGGCACAGACCTAATACACACCAGCCACGATTATGTCAGAGCTCTGTAGTATCAAACAGCACAGCAGGCCTCATGCATTTTAAGTACCACTGAGCACACTGCATTATAAATCTGACAGGATTTACTAAAAGGATCTCTCTTCTCTCTCTTACACACACAGAACAACTACTACTACCACCACCACCACCCTACCTCTGTACCAAATTAACATTTTCCAGACAGATTTTCAATATGAAACAAGAGTGAGAGGCAAGGAAACATTGTTCTGGTAGAGGAAGCATCAAGGGTGGAGGCAGAGGGAGGACATATGAAAGGACGTCCGCATTTGCTCTTAGTTCTGGGGCACAGGAAAGAAGAAATAAATAAAAGGTTGGGTGTACTATCACAGAAGCCAGTTTGCAACTGAAGACAGGGACTAAAGGTCCAGGAAATGGCTTATAACTTCAAAGAGATGAAAGAGCATGAGAAAGCTTTGTGTTATGATCTGTACTGGGAGACTTAGCATGGCATGACACTGGCTGGGTAAGATGGTAAGGCTGGAGGTGGGATGAAAGACAAGACTGGAAGGGAAGGAGGGAGGGAAGGGAGGGAGAGAGGGACAAACAGAGGGAGGAAGAGAGGGAGGAAGGAGGGAGGGAAGGGAGGGACAAACAGAGGGAAGAAGAGAAGGAGGCAGGAGGGAGGGAAGGGAGGGAGAGAGAGAGGGATAAAGAGGGGGAGGAAGAGAGAGAGGAAGGAGGGAGGGAAGGGAGGGAGAGAGGGACGAAGAGAGGGAGGGAAGGGAGGGAGAGAGGGAGAAGGAGAGGGAAGAAGAGAGGGAGGAAGGAGGGAGGGAGAGGGACAAAGAGAGGGAAGAAGAGAGGGAGAGAGAGAGAGGGACAAAGAGAGGGAAGAAGAGAGGGAGGAAGGAGGGAGGGAAGGACAAAGAGAGGGATGAAGAGAGGGAGAGAGGGACAAAGAGAGGGGAGAGGGAGGAAGGAGGGAGGGAAGGACAATGAGAGGGACGAAGAGAGGGAGGAAGGAGGGAGGGAAGGGAGGGAGACATAGGTTTGATACAACCCATTCAGTAAATCTTTTCTACAGTACTTCTAAATATGTTCTGCCAACTGTACAAGATGTAAGTTAACTCTAAAGCCAGATGAGTCCTTTCAGTTCAGAAAATGAAACAATTCAGTTTACCAAGCAGACCATAAAGGACTCCATGGCTGACATTTCTTTGGGGCAATCACCAACTTTTACTGATTGCTGTGTATGTTCCATGTACTTTAGATAAGCCTGTGCAGACTGTCCTGTCACAGCAGGCCTCAGCGCATGCTGGACCCTTCACTAAGCTTTTCATATACACCACTTCATCTTCATCCCCTCTTAGCAAAAGGCCCACAGGCTAAGACCAGTACTCTCTTCCCTGTATGGATACACACACTTGCCTGAGATCATACAACCTATGAACAGGAAATTTAAATTTAGGTCTTTTTTATCTTAGTTGGGCACTTTTCCCAATTGGGGATCAGAATATGAACCCCTAAATATTCCACTTAATCTTTTGGATTATTTTGAGCTGAAGGTAATTAAGAACAGCACTCTACCCTTCACACATTCTCCTTTGTGAAGGTGTTGGCTGTCATACCCACTCTCCCATGAAAGTAGACACCAAGGTGAGTCTGCATAAGAAACTTCACTACAGTAACCCGTCTTCCATCAGTTTCCCTCATATAATCCCTTCCCACATTTCACTGTCCCCAAAGGCCCGAAGCTCC